TGGTGGTAGACTGAGATGATATGCAAGTGGAGGATAAAGCTTTGAGATGTCAAGTGGCTGAGGCACTTAGTTTCTATGGCAACAAAAGTGAACTTAAATATTTTGGAGTCACCTAGCTTCTTATGGGAGCTCTGGTGGTGTAGTGCCTAAGGCATTTGACTGCTAATCAGAAGGCTGGCAGTTCAAACCTACCAGCTACTCCTCAGAAGGAAGATTGGACAATCTACTTCGGTAGAGATACCACCTCAGAAACCCGAGGAGGGTTCACTATGAGCTGGAAATAATTCAGCACAGTGAGTGAGTGAGTTTAGCTTCTACTGGACCTAGAGCACACATAGGGGAAAGGAGAATTTTGAAACTATGGACATACCATTAACCAGAAGACGCCTAGGAGGGCTTTGAAGGAATTTCTCATCTCTTGTGATGACAGGGCACATATGGTTGAGGACCAAACCTAAGTAGAGGTTATAAGGGTTGCATATTTGCAGATCCAGGTCTCTTACAACAAGGTAAGGGCACTGGTAGGGGAAGAATGTGACCATGGGACATACAGTAGGAACATCTGAGTAGACATAAAGAAAATTAAATTCCCAGTTTCCATTGAACTCCCCTTTTCTCCAGAGTTAGACTCTTTTCCCATCCCATTCTATCTGTGGGAATCAGCTCTCTTGTCATAAAACCTTTAAGTGGCTGCATGTGGGTCACATTCTCATTTATAAATGCCAGCCCCTGGCTATTGCACCATCTTCTGTGTTTCCCCTGCACCTCTGTAAACAAGCTCTCCTCAGTAATGTGAATGTGCCATCTGTTTTCTCTTGGAATCCCAACAGATACACCAGTTACCAGGCAGCATATCCAAAATCCTGATTCTCCACCACCCTTTCCCAGTCTTTCTATCTCAGTGATGACACCCACTTTGCACCCAGTTGCTCAAGCCAACAGCCTTGGAGTCCTTCTTGACTCCTGACTTTCTTCTTTATTCATCTTTTTATATTTTCCTTAGCAAGTCTTTCTGATTTTAAAAAATAGATTCAGAATCTGATATTTACTTCCCTGGTCCACGTCATCAGGACTTTTCAACTGTTGTAGTGCATCAGCTGCTTAATTGAGCTCCCTGCTCTTCTCTTGTCTTCTATAGTTTAGTGTCCACACAGGAGCCAGAGTAACTTTAAAATATATCAAATTGTATTACTCCTCAGTGGCTTCCCTTGACACTTACAATAAAATACAAAGTCCTTGTTATCTTGGTCTACAAGACGTCACATGACCTGGTCTCACCTAGTTCTTCAATCTCATTGAAGAATGGTTCATCCCTTTTACTTCACTCTGCTCTAGGCCTAGTGACCTCTTTCTTGAGCAGGCCATGAACTCTTCTCCTAAGAGCCTTTGAATGTGATGTTTCCTCTGTTTGTACTCTTTTCCCCCAGAGAACTGAGGCCCACTCTCTCACTTAAACGACATCTTTTCAGAGAATTCAAAATAACACTCCCGCCTTTTCTGATCCCTTTTCCCTAACTTTTCTTTTTAGAGAATTGATCACTACTTTGCATTATGTATATTTTAATTGATTTGTTTATTGTTTGTCTTCTACTTCAGAATATCAACTCCATGAGGTGTGTAATAAATATTTGTCATTGAATTAAGACAAGGGAATAATACAAGGTGCCCTAGTTATGGCACTCAACTAGACACTAGAAAGCCAGGGGAGGATTCCAAGAGGAAGTGATATTCCCTTTGGTACCACTGTCAAGGGGTCTGTGAGCCACTCATTCAAGGTTTCTGGGGCATACCTAAGGGGGTCCTCCTCATAGGATCCCTGTGTTCCCTGAGTTGTCACAGACTTGCTAATCCACCATACCTATCCCCCATGTCTTTGTCTTTTCACTGTAGAAAGGAGATGGTCAGGAAAATATCTTCATTATTGGCACTTTTGCTTGGAAACAAATCATTGCAGTGGTTTAAACCATTTGAAGTTCTTCTGAGTGACCTGACACCTTGTGGATTTGGCTAGCCTACTCTAGGAACATTCTCATTTTGGCCTTAGGTTCTACATGATGCCATCTAGCCTGGTGAGTTAAAGTTCTGAGCACTGTCTGCTTTGTCAGAACTTACTGGGAGTGGTGGCCCTTGGTAATTTTTCTTTCACTCGGTAAAGTGTTTAAAGTTGGGGCAGTTAATGGGTTTGCTGACAGAAGGTTAATACTCTTGAAAGGATCTTTTGGCCATGGTCCTGGGCCTTGCCTGGGGTGAGCCTGAGAGTCTTGCACAGAACACACTGTGCTCCCCTCCAAAATAGAGAGCTATATGGATTAGCACCTGGCTTTCAGAATGGCAATTTAAGGTTGAAATCTTTGTGTCTGAATATGGTGCTTCTTTAATTCTCTATCTGGTCTCAAGCTTCTGTTTGGAATGGGGGATGTTGGGATCCTGGCCACTGGAGGGATGGGAGCTGGGCAGGATTTTTTCCTCCTGTGGCTTGTGTTTGGAGTTCCAGGAACTGTTAAGCCTGATCATGGGTTCCTGGTACACCTGTGAAGTAGGCAGCAACAAAGGCTGGTGTTCAGGGGAGAGAAAGAAATGGCTAAAATAATCACAAATGCTACCCTATGTTCCCAGTTACTCCAGTCCCTATTGATTGGCATGCTCTCTTTAACCCAGGAGAATCTGAAGGAATCAGTAATGATGGTGGTGTGATTGTCTGTGGGGTTGCTTTCCTCTCTCTCCCTTTGTCCCAGGGAACAAAGCACAGCTAGCTAGCTACTTGTGCTCAGAAAGAACTAAATAGGCTCATTAAAAAGGACTAAGTCTTCTTGAAGGCATGACTCTCCCTGCTCCTCTGACCGGAAAGCATGCCTGGGAGATTGGACTCCAGCAAACGTGGGTCTAAGAAGCTGTGCCCAGTCAAGAAAGGCCCAGCTCTGCCCCAGCGTGAATCCTAAACCATGGCAACTGCTCACCCATCACCACCTTACCTCAGAGGCTTTGCCCTAAAGGCATAGATAGAGTGGCATGTGTCTTGGATGGGCAGGGGTGAAACCTACACACTGGGTGGTGGACACTGGCTGAAGACCAGGCATGAAATAACGTCCTGGTCTCCCAGCCTGTTGGGACAGTGTTTAGTGGAAAAGAGATACCCTCTTACGCTAGCTTAAGTAAACAGGGATCTGTTGTAGGAGGCACAGGGATGCAGGGAAATCAGTATTAGAAGTGAGCAACATTATATGGGGACCGGGCTGCTGTCAGATGGCTTCCCTCTCTTTCACACATGTACAGTTGCTGTCTGTGTTTCTCTGCCTCCATTCCTCTGTCTCCTCCCGGCTCACTTTCTGCCTTCCTTCCTCTCTGGCTTTTGGTTTCCCATCTGTATTTTTCTCTGCACATCTCCACTATTATCTAACCAAGACACATGCCTTCCATCATCAGTTTGAGCCTCATAGTGCCATCTTAGCCCCAAAAGCCATGTTAACGCCCAGCTTCAATGTCATACTCCTGCCTCACAGCCCCAGGTATCACTCTCAAATTCCAGGAGAATTTTACTGTCCACTCTTGACCCCGTTAGCTATGACAGGGGAGCAGTGTCAGATAGCTGGCTGACGTGCATCATCCAGGTCATGAGTAAGGTGGGTTCCCTCAGAAAGGGGTGTTGCCAGGAAATAAATCAGTCTGGTAGTGTAGCAGATAAGGTATTTGGTTGCTAACCAAAGGGTCACTGGTTTGAACCCACAAGCAACTCTTGGAAGAAAGATGGGAAGTCTGCTTCTGTAAAGATTTACAGCCTTGGAAACCCAATGGGGGTCACTATGATTTGGACTTGTTGGCAGTGAGTATGTCTGATTCAGGTGGCCAGCACCCTTTGGCCCACTCTGGTCTACTGCTCCAGATGGGTTCTGAATATCAGATAGAGAGGGGCATTTCCAGAGATGATTCCAGAATCAGAGCCTGCAGTTGAATCTTAGCCCTACAACTTAGGAGTTGTGTCACCTTGAACAAGTTATTTAATGTGTTTGAACCTTACTTTCTTCATTTGTAAAACAATATCCATCTCATAGGATTGTTGTGGGTTTGAAGGAGGTAAATATGTATCTTGCAGACAGTACATTGTAGCATTAAAAAAAATTAGCTCTTTCTCTGTTTTAGGATCTCAGAGAGCTCTGTAGACTCAAGGCTTAGCTAGCTCCATACCAAAGACAATCTGGTCAGTTGTGGAAGGAGAGAAGTTAAGTTTGTGGTGGTCTAGAACTCCTGGCTGGGGCCCCCCCTGCTTTGTGGAGATCACCTAGTCCCACCATCACCATACCCACTGGTCTCCCTACAATAGAGGGAGGTTGAATGTGGACTCATTCTGCTGAATTCAAACCCTGGCTCTTCCACCAACTGGCCATGGAACCTGGGGCTCATATCACTTGCCACTGAGTTAACTTTGACTCATGGAGACCACACGTGTGTCAGAGTAGACCTGTGCTCCACCGGGTTTTCAATCCTGGTATTTTGGAAGTAGGTTGTCATGCCTTTCTTCTGAGGCACGTCTGGGTAGATTTGAACCTCCAACATTTTGGTTAGTAGCCAACTGGAAAACAGACAAGTGCAGTTAACCATTTGCACCAAGCAAGGACTTCGAAGCTCATACTCAACCTCTCTAATCTTCTTTCCTTATCTGTACCGTGGAGGCAATCACAGCACCTTTCTCAAAAGAGTAACAGAGATACCCTGTGTAAACTGTTTACCACAATACCCACAACCTCAGTCAGCTTTCACTGAATTGGTAACTGTTGCTATAATCTTGGAGATACAGAAACAAACATGGATTAAGAAGTGATTCAGGTTGGTGAAGAGGCAGGCAGTGAATGGGGAGTGAAAGCCATAGTGTCCTGTGGTCCTTTGACTCTGCTGCTAGTGACTCTATCCCAGATGGCTCCCTCCCTCACCCACATGAGAACAGGTCCTCTCTTTGTCAAGAAGAGCTGTTAACTGCAGAGAGAAGTTGACCACTAGACAAACGCTGGGTGAGCTTCCATAGCAGAACTTTATCATTTTATTGTCTGTAAACTCTTAACTTGGTAAACAAGAAGACAAGAAACCAAAAGAGAAGAGGAGCACAGCGAATAAAGAAGGCAAGGCAGGGCACGTGCCCCCTGCAAACAGGAACTCTGAGAGACAGCTACACCATTAGCAAGGTGGTGGATGGAACTGGAAAGTTTGTGGTGGGAAGAGGCAAGGGAGAAGGGTGGAGGAGGGCGAGAAGGAAGAGTCCACTCTGTTGGACATAGAAGCCAAAATCATAGAGTGAATGAGCTCATGCATCACAGCAAAGAAGGCTGAGGAGCCTCCACCCGTGCCCCACCCACTTTCCGTGCACTGGGTCATCCAGACTGCAGGCCAAGCAGTGTGTCTGGTCAGGATCAGGTTAGAGGGGCTCAAAGGAGGTGCACACTGGCCCATCTTCCATCTCTCCTTTCCTGCTCTGCTGGCTAGTGTGGGTGGGTTGCAGGGGGCAGGGATGCTCATGATCTCTGGGTGTGGGTACAGTGTTAGGGCAGCAGGAGAAGGATTTGGGGAGGTGGAGAAGCAGCCCCTGTCCCGCCTTTACATGGGGGGCTCACTGCAGAGCACAATCTCCAGGTCCTTGCGGTAAAGCTTCCCCGCCTCGGCCAAGGACATGACACTCTTCCTGTAGCTGGTGAGCTGTTGGATGTTCATTTCCTAGGAGATACAGGGAGAGGTAAGAGCAGGGTCAGTGGATGGCCCAGCAACATGTTCAGACACCTGCCTGAACCACCCTTTCCTCCCACCTCAGTGTACATGGTTTAGAGTGATACAGGGCATGGGCCTTGTGTCAGACAGACTGGGTTAAACTCTGTCTCCGTCACATACTAGCTGTGTTGCCTTGGGCAAAATAGTCAACCTGTCTTAGACTCAGCTGCTTCACCTATAAAATGGACACAATAATAGTACCTCCTTATTGGTCTTACAGGTGCTCTGGTGGTGTAGTGCCAACGCATTTGACTGCTAACCAGAAGGCTGGTGGTTCAAATTCATCAGCCATTCCTTGGAAGGAAGGTTGGGCAATCTACCTCCATAGTGATAATGCTTTGGACACCCATGAAGGGGTTGCTGTGAGTCGGATCCGACTCAACGGCAGTGTGTTTGGTTTGCTTTAGTGGTTTTATGAAAGAGCTCTGGTGGCATAGTGGGTAAGGCATTTGGCTGCTAACCACAGGTCGATGGTTCAAACCCATCAGCTAGTCCATGGGAGGAAGATGAGGCAATCCATTTCTGTAAAGATTTACAGCCTTGAAAACCCAGTGGAGGCACTGTGAGTCAGAATCTACTTGATTGGCAATGGGTTAATGGCATTATGAGGAATGGATGAGGAAATGATGTTAGCACAATGCCTAACACATAACAAGCATTCTAAAAACAGGAGCTTGGAAGGAAGATTGGGAAATCTTATTTCCATAGTGATACTGCCTCGGAAACCCAAGGAGGAGTCACTATGAGTCGGATCCAACTCGATGGCAGTGAGTATGGTTTTTTGGTATTGTGAAGATAGTCATTATCAGCGCATAACTTGTGTAAATTCCTGTACCTCATTTGGTCTCATTATTGAAAGCCAAATCGGGTCCCTGAAGGTGATGAAGAGAGTGCCAGAGAAGCTCCTTGGTCTACTGTTCCCTAAGCCTCATCTGTTTAAACAAGGAATTCTAAATGCTGTCTCCACTGGCAACAAAAGCTCATCAGCCCACTTCTTGCTCACTGGCTTCCTGTGGCCTTCAGAGGGCGGATACACTAAGACAGGTGACCCTGTCTTAGTGGCATGAACAATATGCCCAGATCTCATTTTAAAATGGAGGCCAATATTAGACAGAATACTAACACCTGATATGCCTTATGTTAAACATACTCACAATAATTGCTTTGGATGTAAATAGTAAGTCTGAAATATAGAAAAGTCACTTAAACAACTGTCTTTTTCCCCTTCTTTCTCCCTTCATTCCTTCCTTCCCTCCTTGTCTCCTTCCCTCCTCTCTCCTTTTCTTCTCACCTCTTTGTATATTGAAGACCTTGACAGAATATGTACTCAGTATCTGAAGGATCATTTTTTAAAACACTTCCCCTTCTAGGGCGATGGGTCATTATCCCCATGCTGCTAATAGGCCAACTGAGGTATAAAGACTAAGGTATTCACTGAAGGACTGGTCCAGCTCATAGCCATCAATATTGTTAGTCCCCTGAGTCCTGAAGTCTACCACGTAATCTGCCTAGCTCACCTGTCCTCAGTCAGTGCTCACAGGCGACTTTTTCTCTTTGCTTTGAGACACCCCCTCACACTACATCTCACTTACCGACTTATCCTCACTTACTCACTACATTGTTATCTGACATTTTGCATATATGATAGTGGTAAAAATTGCCCATCTGACTGTCTCGCGCATTGGCATGCGTCTAGCAGCAGTGAATGCTGAGGTGCGACATGAGAGTAACGCTGGCTGTAATGGTTAAGGTTATATGTTGACTTGGCTGGGCCACGATTCTCAGTGGTTTGATAGTTAGGTAATTACGTAATTTGGCAGTTATGTAACATGTGGTCATCTTCCATTTTTTCTTAAGGCTGATTTTTGCACAATGACCTGGTCTTTGGAACGTAACCATGTCAATAAGTGAGGAGTGGGTATACTAATTTCAGGTTTTGTGCTGCCATCCACTCCAAGTGCATTTTGCAAACATCCTTGTGGGGCATCTTTCAGGTCAATTAGCATATTTTTCTTCCTAGTTTGCCCTGCACCAATTAGGAATCAAGAAAGGGGGACCCCATGTATCAGCCTCTAGCTTGCAAAAACTCTCCAGAGTGTAGCCAGGAAGCAAGAGGCTTAGTAACCTAAGAGAGAGGGCTGCTTACTTTCTATGTCTAGAAGTTTTGCTTGAAGCTGGGGAAGGCTTTAGTGAGTTGCAGTTGCCTCAGGAGTGATAAGAAATATTGACATCTGATCCCATCAGCCTGTCCTTCCCGGGGCCTTAAACTTTAATCTGCAGCAGGAACCTTATCCGTCTACACAGACACAACCAAAATGGAACGTGCATCTGCCACATGGGTTCACCATTCCCAACACAGGTATTGTTATTTACAGACATGCAGCTCTCTCTTTCTCCTGATTCATCCTCTCAATTCCCAGGTGCCAAATTTGGAGCCTGGTGCAGATGGGCTCCCAAGTAAACAAACTTTATTAATATCCTGTTTTCTAACCTTCATAGCTGCTTAAAGTCCCAGTACCTGAACCATTACTTTTGTTTCCACATCTGGAGTCAAGCTGTACAGCTACATGAGTTGTCCTTTGTGTTAAGCAAGAAAGACCCTGAATTTATTCAGATCACTCTGGAGATGAAATACTATGCCTTCAGGGTTGATCTGCTTCGGGTGAAGGCAGGGCCATATGAAGACTAACTATGCTCCTCAATGCAATTATAGTTAAAGACATTCTCCATTATGGTGGCTCGCATTCTTTGGACACAAAAGGTGCATAAATAGTTTTCTCCTTGGTACCAGGAAAAATTTTGCCAAGTTCAAACACCGGCAAACGATTTCTTCTTCCTAGGATGTATCTGTTTACGTACAGTTTATTTTCTGCCTCTTTCAAAAAAGCAATTTTAGGTAACATAAAGGAAAAATAAATCTAGGGTAAAATAAGTGGAGGATGACACTTAGGATAACATAAAGAGATCAGAAAGCACTTGGAAAGGGAGACAGATAGACCTAGAGGCTGCAATGAAGTTATTCCTGAAATTAAGCATTAAATTTAGCTCATGTCTGGGATCCAAGGCAATTAGGCAATGCAAGGAATTATAGAGCTTTCATCATCTATTTAAAGAAAGCAGATAAAACCATTTGCTGAGACATTTTCCAGGAGTGAAGGAAGTTGGCTGCAAAGACTTGTCTCTTGGTTCCTGTCCCACCCTAACCCTAGTGCACCAAGATGAGCCCATTGGGGAGGACATCAAAGGCAACACAAGGAGCAAAGTTATAATGTTCAGTCCTCCATGTTTACCTGGAGGGAAACAAACGTTTCGGTGGCTCCTTTTAACCTTCTCCAGCTCTAGATTGTAAGGAGCTCTGGTGGCATAATGCCTAAGGTATTTGACTGCTAATCAGAAGGTTGGTGGTTCAAACCCTCCAGCCACCCTGTGGAAGGAAGACGGGGCAATCTACTTCTGTAAAGATTTACTGCTTATCACCTTGGAAACCCAAAGGAGGTCACTATGAGTCGGAATCAACTCAATGGCAGTTCTAGATTGTGCAGTTAGCCAATTTGGAATAGCCCTCCCCTCCCACTGGCCCCCTGCCCTCCAAAATCTCTCCTTGTAGAGAAAGTCTTTTTTTGTTGGTACTTTGGCTGATGATTCCACAACATGCACCATGTCAAAATCGCCACTGTCTCATGGCTGGTGAGAGGGGAGCGCGCTGCAACTCCAGGGCGTCCCTGTCCACTCCTCCCTTCCCTGGAGACTTCACCCAGGCCCCTGGGTCTGGTGGCTCACCTTCTTGTTTTTCTCATACAGATCCTTCAAAAGAGCATCCAGCTCATTCTCATCGATGTAGCCACTTCCGTCCTGTGATGGGAGCAGAGAAACAAACCTTTCTGAAACAGTCTCAGTAACCCCGACCTCACTCCTTGATTCCACTGCCTCCCAAAAATCAAGCCAAAACCCACTGCCCTCGAGTCAATTCTGACTCACAGTGACCCTATAGGACCAAGGAGAACTGCCCCCTAAGGTTTCCAAAGCTGTAAATCTTTCAGAAGCAGACTGCCCACATCTTTTCTCCTGCAAAGTGGCTAGTGGGCTCGAACCGCTGACCTTTCAATTAGCAGCTGAGTGTCTAACCACTGCACCACCAGGGGGTCCTTCCACCCATCCCAAGGGGGCCTAAATGTCCAACCTTCCCATTACTGTGTCCAAGAGAAGGTATTCAGACTTTGTAGTGTCATAATAATGCATCAGCTCTTTCTATACTGACTGACACAGGAACAGGACAAACTGTTCTTTTGGTAGCCTCTAGTTTTGGTGTCTTTCACTTGCATTGAAAATGTGAATGATATTAGCCAACTGTCTGAATGCCACATCCAAAGTAAAATGTCAAGGTCAACACAGGGGCTTTTTAAAGTTTACCCCCAACCCTTTGGTTATAAATAACATCTCCCACCCTAAGAGTTATATGGGTAGGGATGGGTATGGAAGGGGTGGATGTGGAGGTAAGGAAGTCAGCTTACACCCAACCTCCCAGAAAAATAACTGGCTCTAGTGCAAAATTTCACTCACTGCCATTGAGTCAGTTGCTCTGGTGGTTTGGCGCCTAAGGCATTTGACTGCTAACCAGAAGGCTGGCAGTTCAAACCTACCACCAGCCACTCCTCAGAAGGAAGACTGGGCAATCTACTTCCTCAGTGATACTGCCTCGGAAATCCAAGGAGGGGTCGCTATGAGTCGGATCCAACTTGATGGCAGTAAGTTTAGTTTGTTGGTTTTGAGTGCAAAAGTTATGACAGGTACCAGGGGAGCAGCACTGAGCATCTCCATCTTTCTGCTCCAAACAACGTAATCACACCCTGGTTCTCAGTATGACTATCTTCCTCTTCTGCCAACTATTCTTTGCTGCATTTTTTTCAAAATCCAAAACCTTAGGCTCCATAGGTGATGGGATCATAAATGACATTTATCTTTTTCCATAACATAAGATACATCAGGAAAGGGACAGGAAGAAACGATGTGGCCCAGGCTGCCCCTTTGACCACTGGTCTCTTTCTGCTGATGGAAGTGACTCATTCTGGCTGAGGGCTCCCCTGTCTTGAAGCCTCCAGCATTTCCAATCTGCACTGCCTTTGAGCTCTTACCTTGTCATAAAATGTGAAGATCGCGTTGAACTCCTCTGAGGTCAGCTTCATGCCCTATAAGGATTGAGACAGTTAAGAGAGAGAGAAAGCCTTGAATGTGTTTATGATTATGGTGGATTTGGGGGTGTGTGGAAGGGCAAAGCTCAATGGTGAGGGGAAGGGAAGAACAAGAGGAAAGCACAGCAGGTCTTTTACCTGAAATTTAAGCAGGAAGTTTTCCTGAACGGGCAAGAGTCTGAAAAGGAAATGGTAGAGCAGAGATTAGAAGGCAGAGCGTAGGCAAGAGCAGCTTGGACCTGGTGAGGATGCAGAGGGAGCCTCTGTTAGTTACCCAGAGCTCTCGAGCACTTAATCAGGATTTCGTGGAAAGTTCATAAAAGAGAGAAACAGATAAACTGAGGTGTTGATGTTCACAGTTCTTTCTAACTTTGCCTTGAGTTTTTTGACACCTGACCTGTTAGCCTACTCATTGATCTCAGAGATGGGGACAGTAGCACAGGAATGATAGCAGGAATCTTATTAAAAGTGACACTGGGGGTGTGGGCGGATGCTTACCGGGACATCTCCGAGAGGCCCAATTTGCCATCCCCATTCAAGTCAAACATCCTTAGCTGTTGGGGACACAAAGAGGTGTGAGTTATTTGCTTTGAACTTGCATGTGGGGTCTTGACCTGCCACCCCCTTAGTGGAGAGGAGAGGAAGGAGGACAGGAAGAGAGTTCTCATGGGCTCCTCTGAGGTCACCTGGAGGCCAGGGACCACCCAGAGAAGGAGCAGCAGAGGCACAGAGCAGGTCAGCACCAATGTCCTACCCTCTCAAAATTCATCTTCTCCTGGAGCTACAAAGATTGTCTTGGAACTAGATGCTCCCCAGTCTCACACTGGCCTGGGAGTCAGCTCAGTGGGGGTCTCAAAGAGGAGGGATGTGGGGCCATGAACTGCCACCCTTCTTTGCCTTGCTAGCTGCCACCATAAGTCACCTGCACCCCTGGGGAGGGGGGGGGGAACTCTGTCCACTCACTATGGTCTGGGTGTACTCTTGGAGCTTAGGTTCGTCATAGGGCCGGTTTGCCTTCTTCAGCAGGTCTGACAGGAATCCCTGGAATATGAAAGGCCTCTTTCAGAGCTCCCGAATCCTTCATGCTTTCTACAGTCACTTATTTTCTGAGGTTTACACCAGTACGGCTCATAATTCCCTAACCGCTTGATCCCTGTGGAGTGAACTTGAAGCCCCAGAAGTGGCTCTGGGTTCAACTTCACCCCACTAGTAGAGACTGACTCTGCCTCCTCATAAACATAGCACAGAGGGTTAGAGTTAAGCAGTGTCTAAGGGTCACTGGTTGGTCGAAGAATTTGAGGGTAGATATATGTACAAGTTAGAAGATCCGCAAACTACAATTAGCCGGAAATGCTCAAGCGTGCCTGTCCTAGGCACTGATGTGCAAGGGTGTTGTTTGGGTGGACTCCATGGCCCTATAGCTCCATGCTACAGATTTCACATGGCTGCCCTGAAGAAGTTAAACAGTCCAGAGCCAGGCTTGGGAGTTCTGAACAGATTGCAAACCCCTATTTCTAACCCAACTTCTCCCCCCTCCCCAGGTTCCTTAAACCCACTGCCGCTCTGGCTTTAGTCCCATTCTCCATGCCCTCCACATCCTTCTCAAGACCCATCTTACCTTGAGCTCATTGGCTTCGATATAGCCACTCCTGTCTGTGTCGTACTTCCGCCAAGCCTGCAATGGAAATGTCAACCTTTTTGCAAAGATGTATCAGCACCTGTACTCCTCCCTTGGATTCAAGAATTAGAGAGGGGTGGAGAATGCAGAGAGGGTCTGATCCAGCCCCTTCATGTCACAAATGAGGAAATGATGTTAAGCGTCTTGGCCAAAGTCACAAAGAGGAGGAGGAAAACTGCTGGGACTGGCGTCCAGGCCTCCCTAATGCAAACTTGCTCCAGGTGTGTGTTTCTTTTGGATCATCTCGTCACCAGGGGTGAGATTTTCTAAAGTACAGCTTCCGCCAGGTCTAGAACAAGGATCTAGTGTCTCTGACTTTTGCTGTGGGTAAATGGAGTGTCCTTTCATTGCTCGAAACTTCTGTTACTCTTGGGGGGTGGGGCTAGGAGGCAAGGGGAAGGAATGGGCTTTGGTTACTCTTCACTCTACCCCCTCCTTCATCCTGTTGCATATAGCAGCCACGTCTGGGGGTGAGACAGAACTGGTAGTATAATCAGATTTTTAGACTATCCCAAAGATACTTAACAACCTCTCCACTTCTAATAAAAAACATCCCATCTCCAGTTTCCCACTTTTAGTCTGTAAGGCTCAAGGGAGCTGACCCATCTCCGGAGACAGACATGTAGCATAGTGACCAGTCAGGTTCCTTCCTAGATCCCACTCACTGGTTCTGGGCCCTGATCAGAGTCCCAGTTATTGGCACATGTGTTTGATCTCTGTGAGGAACCAGAGCACAGACTGACCACGGCATCTGGAGGGTCAGAGAGAAGTAGAGCTTCAGGAGGTGATATGGTTCTGACTTCCTCCTTGCTCTCTATCTTGGCTGTCTGAGTGAGAGCAGGTAATCCACAGGAATTGCGAATAGTTGCAGTAGTTTAAAAATGTCCACAAATGCTCCAGCACACCTCTCTTCTCTGGGTGGCATCTCATTCCCCTCTCCTTACATGTGGGCTGGGCTTAGGAGCTCATTTCTAACGAACAGAATGTGGCAGATGTGACAGTGTGTCCCTTCTGAGGCTAAGTCATAAACGGCATTGCAGGTTCCTTCTTGCTCTCTCTTGTATCACTCTCTTTGGAGGAAGCCAACTGCCATGTTGTGAGAATGCCCAAGCAGCCTATGGAAAGGCCTATAGGGGGAGCAACTGAGCTCTCCTGTCAACAGCCAGCAACAAACTTGGCTCTTTTGCCAACAGCTGTGTGAGGGAGCCATTCTGGAAGTGTGTCTTTCCAGCCCCAGTCAAGCCTTCAGATGACTGTAGACCAGCTGACATCTTAACTGCAACCTCACGAGAGACCCTGAGCCAAAGCTGTTCCTGAATTCCTGACAGGCAGACACTGTGAGGAAATAATTGTGTGTTTATTTATTATTTATTTAGCTTTATGCTGCTAAATTTGGTGTGGCCTTTTTATGCAGCATTAAGTGAAAATTACAATGGTTCTGAGAAAACATGGTCCTCTATACAACTGGTAGCATAGTGCCTAAGGCACTTGACTGCGGACCAGAAGGCTGGCGGTTCAAACCCACCAGCCACTCCTCGGAAGGAAGATGGGGCAATCTACTTCTGTAGTGATACCACCTCGGAAACCCAAGGAGGGTTCGCTATGAGTTAGGTTGACTCGACGGCACATGACAACAACAACAACTATACAACTACCTTGAAACCTCAGCTACTTACCAAAACCATTTGATAGAGAGAAGGGAATGCCATGGGGCAGGGGGCTGCCTATATCCATGGCAACAAGGCCCTGGGGGACTTTGTTCCCAACTCTTTGGTCTATTTTGGTGACTAATCATATTCCTTAGATTTTCTTACAAGATTTTTCCCTTGACTTTTTTGCCCAAACTGTACACCTGGACCCCAGCCCCATTTAAATTTTTGAGTCAGCAAGCACTACTCCTTTTCCTGTCTTTTATTCCCTTCCTCCTCCACTTCACACCACATCCCTGTTCTATTGCTGGGAGAGTAAGTTTGTGGCCATTTTAGGATCTTTCTTCCATAACAGCTAACAAGACTGTAGAATGCTCTTAGTGTCAAGGGCTTAGGAAACCTGGTCCTAATTTCCTTTGAGTTATGGGACAAGAGAAAGTTCTAGCAAAGTGTAGGCAAATACCAAATGCAGATGGTATTTGATTAGTTGAGTGTCTTTTCTCCAGTGGAAAAAAAATGCCTTGAGTTCTATCACAATACTCCTTCCTTTGTCCAGAAAGCATAGCCTGAGAAGTACCAAGCATTGGGAGAGAGATGTGCAGGTTTCCAAATAGGACTTCAACTACCTGCATGAATCTAGTTCATTAGAACTTAGTTCATCGAAGTTGAGTCCTGAATGGGAAAGAAGCAGACACCCCCCACTTTGCCTGAAAAAAGCATAACCAAATGGACCCCTGTCCTTGTCCAGAGCAAAACATCTGGCTGCCTCCCTCACTGAGTGGGGTCACTTCCAACAGGCCTCCCTCCCCCCAGGCTGGCTCTAGGCTCTTCCACTAGGTTTCTCCAGCCCTTCAGCACTTTGTGCTCGCCACCTCTGGGTCATTATTCTCTTCCATTCAAGGAAATGAGTTCAAGAGACTGGGCTTTTTGAAATCCCAGAGAAGTCCTGAGGCTTCACTAAAATTAGAAATTAAAATGTCGGCTGAGAAGTGGGATGGGAGAATCTGAGAGCAGGCTTTCAGGGCTGCTGAGGGACTGTTTCATGTTTTCAGCTGAAAAAAAAA